CGCAATTCGACGCTGATGCACGCCGCGGCACTCTTATAATATTTTCTCAACTCTTTGAGTTTTCTTCGATATCTCGCAGAGTGCACACAAGCTCGCCGCGCGCTCGCCATGGGTCTAGAATTGATTTTTTTTTCTTTCGTTCTTTTTATTTTGCCGCTACTCTCTTTCTCTCTCTCTTTAATCCCTCCCCCCCTCACCTCTCTGCTTGACTCTCTTTCTCTCTCGCTCTCGAAAAATTGCACTTGCTTTTTACGATTATGGTTATCGCGAAACGAAAATAAGTTTGATATATATGTTTGTACGTCGATTATGATCCACGCATCCGCCGCATGCTGCTTCTGCTGCTTCTGCTTCTGCTGCTGTTGTTATAATACTTTGTAAGAAATTCGAGGCAGTTATAATACTTTTGTGTATAAGCGTGCGCGCGTTGCACGGGTTATAATATTCGTATATATATGATCGAGCAAAAAACTTTCCAAGATCGTCGTCGCAATCTTTTTTTTTATTTTATTTGCAGCAATAGTATCGAAAAATTGAAAGAAATATAATAGTCAACTCGAGCTAATTCCATATATACGTAAGGTCATCGGACACTAAAGTACGTATATATAATAATGTATATGTAGGCAAACATGCGTGCTTGAGAAAGAGAGTGAGAGAGAGAAACAGAAAGAAAGAAAAAAATCCGTCGCGATCCCTCCGTTGGCCAATTATTTCGCAAATATAGCCGCTCGTGTGTGCAGCGTGTGCAGTGTGTGCGTGTGTGTGTTATATGTGTGTACGGCTGCGCGCTTTCATGTTGCGAACACGAGAAAGAAAGACAGAAAGTGAGAGAGAGAGAGACTCTCGATGCAGCATACAGTGCAGAATATTTTTAAGGTCAAGTACATACACTCACACACATACGGAGTAAAAGAGAGAGAGATAGAGAGAACGAGCGAGTGCATCAAGCTGCGGCGCGTCGGCTCGGTGGCCTCTCGTCCGTGTGTCTGTGTGTATGTGTGTGTGTGCTCCTCCTTTTTATTTCTGCGTATAAGCGGTACTTGCTCGCTCGCGCGCACGCGGATAGACCTTGTCGACATGCTGCATGTTTATAATACACACACACACAGACACATGCGCTCACCCGCGCGCGCGTGCTGCACAGCAGAGCAGCGCGAGTGAATTCACAAGCGAGCGATTATTCACCTTTTGTTCGGTTTTTTTCTCTCTCTCTGCTTCTCTCTCCTCTCTTTTCTTATTCTCAATCTCGGGCCTATCGCATTCCAACTGGCGCGCAGCGCACACGAGGCATGAGCAGCAGCAGCAGCGGAGTTGCCAGGATATACAATTCCTCGCGCAGCTCGTTCGCTCGTGTGCTGCCGCTGCTGCTGCAGTGTAGCGTATATGTATACAGTATATATAAGCTTGCACTGAGTGTACTGCTGCTGCTGCAGCTCTCCTCCATGCTACACTACTCGTCGACGAGAGCGAAAAAGAGAGAGAGCGAGAGAGAAGCGCCCAATTGTCTGCGCGCAGCGTGTGTAAGTCATGCACACTTGCACACCACTTGCTTTTGCGCGCCTTTGCCTTTAGCTTAATATACAGCGTATATATATACTGCGCCGAGCACAGGCGATCGTCTCGCTCGTTGTATTATACGTGCATTATACACACGAGTTTGGTCATCGCCCTGTTAATGGCATCTTTGCCTCTCTCTACGTCTGCGGGGCTCCGGAGAGAGAGAGAGAGAGAGAGAGAGAGAGAGAGACTTTTTGATTTTTGTCCACGTGTACTCGACCGAATTGGGCTCCTTTTTTGCGTATACACATTGCGAAATCTCTTATATATGCTCCGAGTACGAGATGAGTAGTAGTAGTAGTAGTAGTAGTATAACAGCAGTGAAGTACGCGAGGCATCGCTCGGTGCATCAGCAGCAGCAGCCGTAGTATAGTATCGCTTTGCGGCGTGCAGAGGAGAGAGAGAGAGAGAGAGAGCGCCAACGAGCGTTATTTTCGTTCCGCCTCTCTCTCGCTCTAAAGCTCTTCGTTCATCTTCTCTTCCTCGAGAGCACTGATTATTCTAAAGCCCGGGAATTTCCAACATGTGTGTGACTAGCTCTATATAGCTGACTGCCTGCCTGACTCTGAAGCTGCTGCTGCTGCTACTACGTGTTTATATACTGCAGTTGAAAGAGAAATCACGCTTTTTTCGCTTTTCATTATTCCTTTCCTCTTTTTCTTTCTCGTTTTTTTTGCGCTGTTTTGCGGACTTCTTTTCAACGCGCGACGCGTTCCTTTCTTTCATTCTTCTCTCTCTCTCTCTCTCTCTCTCTCTCTTTCGTTTTTTTTTTCGTTTGCTCCACGCGCACCGTTGTGTTATTCGAGATTCGAATGATGAACTTTGATGCAAGTCGATTCCGGTTTTCCCGGGGTGTATACTATATATATACGCCGCAGCACGACTCTTGCAGCCGACATTGATGCCTTTTTATATACATTTATTAAACTCTATAATATCGAAAAGATATATATTTTTAACTAATTGCGATGATTTGGTCAGTACCCGCGAGTCTGATATTGCTGTTGTTTGCTAATTTCACCCAAGTGAATTCCCGTGGTCTTATCGTTATCAGCTTTTGCTCGCGATCCCCGCAACTCTTTTTTGGACGCTTCGGCTTACTGCTGCTGCTCGAGTATATTTGCGGCCTTACGTTTGGCCGTCCGTCACTTTTGCCAAATTACCGGCAGCAGCCCACACGAGCCTAGCTGTTGCTACTATCTGCGCGTGTTTATCGCCGTATTATAAAGTGTGTGTGTGTCTGTGTGTCTGTGTGCCCAGGTAAAATGAAAATGCGCGCGACTACCTTATCGCTCGGCAACGATCACTGTAATCGTGTATACGGCTCGCTTAGCTTTAGCTTAGCTCGTCTTGATCGAGCGATCATTGCGCGCCGCCGCGAGAGTGAGCAATGCGAAAAATATATTACACACATACCGTATAAAATGTATAATTGAATGGACGGAGCGGCTCTTGGTGGTGGTGGTGGTAGTGCGCCTTTTTACCTTAATAGGAGAGCGTGTTTTATACACAAGTGCCGTACGTGATGCGAAAACGGAAAATAATTAACAAATGAGTTGGGACTTTGTTTTCCTGCTAATCTTCTCCATGGGCGTTTTGAAAGGGCTTCTTTCTCTAATTAATTGCGTAAATCATTTCGTACGTGAATTTTTTCATGAAATAAAGTGCAGCTACACGGAATAATTGAAAACATTTTGTACAGCACTTTTATGTTACGTTACAAAAAAAAAAAAAAAACAATCGCAACTCGCGCTTATTTCGTATCATGTTACATCACGATTTCGATAAATCGCTCGACGTTTATTTTCATTCTCGACTTGCTTTTTTATTCGCTTGTTGACTTCCGTTTTTTTTTCTTACGCTCACTCTCTCTCTACTAAATTCAAAACAATCTTCAACGGTCGAAAAAACATTTAGTGTATACTAAACCTCTGCAAGCTCGCCGGCACACTCAATGGGATATACGATAATAGCTGTATATATAATACTCTCCGTTAGAATTCCTCGACGATTAACGAGCTTAACGACTTTTTTGCTTTTCTCTTATTTGCCGAAAAAAAAAGAATTTCTTCTTTCTTTTTTTTTTCGTAAAAACAGTCACACTCACACAGCGAGAATCTCTCTCTCTCTCTTTTTACCTTTTGACAGGAAATCACAAATGACTCTCAAATATCTATATATTTTAAGTCGTCGTCGTCGTCGTCGTCGTCGTCGCGTAGCAAAACAAAATTCCAGAGCACTCGCGTAGGCGTCGGACACGCCGCGGTGAGAACTCGGTCGTCATATGAGTATTATATGCCACTTTTTCCTCGTTGGCTTTTTCGTCCCCCCGAGTCACCTCTTATATTATATTCTAACGCAGCGGTAGAACGCACGTACGCACGCAAATGTACACAAGGCACACAAACATACACGAAACAGAGAGCCTAGCTCATGCACGCATATATACATATACACGCGCTGTATGCGAAAAAGCTATTCTAATTTAAAGTGGATATAGAGAGAGAGAGAAGCTCTCTGCGTTGCGCCGCGCGTTGAGTGAGTAATCGAATGAATAATCTCAGCTCTTTGTATGTGTACGCGCGCGTGTGTTTGTGTGTGTGTGCGAGTGCGGCTGGCAGCACGAGTAGATAGATAAAATCGAAAGTTTAGCGCCGTGTCGTTTTTTTTTTTTGCTGCACGTTTGAATACGAGAGCGCCTCGTGCAACGCCGTATACCGTTCCGAAAATTATTTCTATTATCAATCAATTCGATACGAGGGAGACGACGACGACGCCGACAAAGGTTTACGCTTTAATTCCTGTCTTGTTTGCCCGTGGGTGTACTCTATCTCTGTGATGCTGTGTATGTGCGCTGTATGCACCCCCTGTTATATAGTTGTGTGTATATTCGTACAGCAGCAGCATCGACGAGCATCGCAGGTACTCGACACATCCCTTTGGGCCGGGGGGAGACCGTTGCTGCTGCTGCCGTTTCTGTGCTTCTCGGCGCTCGGGTCGAAACTTGCGAAAGCCGAGGCCACTTGCGAACTACAACAACAATAACAACAATCACGACGTTCTCCTGCGTGTGTGTATGTATGTATACGTACGACACACACTCGGTATTAAGGCTGAGAAGTCGAGGATGCGTGTATTGCTCTCTGTACTGTGTGTGTGTTTCGAAGACTTGGTTGCGCAGCAGGCACGCTAAATCTCGTTATAATAGTCCTCTTTGCTCGCCGGGCTGGCTGGTTGTGTGTAAATATATTGCTACGCTCTCAGGTAAATTTCGCCTCAGATATGCCCTTGATCGCGCTAACGAGACACACGACTGTCATACTAAGACTCGCGGGTACTATATAATATACGCTTGGATTATGTTATACGTTTCTACGACTACTACTAGATGCTTCCAAAAAATTAATACTTAAATAGGTATATTTTATCTTTTGTTGCAGCGAGAGATATCGCGTCGCCAGAGAGAGAGAGAGAGCCCCGAGAATTCGCCCCCTGTCAAGACTTTGCAATAGAGGACACATTGGTAAGTTGATTTATTTACTCTTGAAATACGAAATAATTTACGGCTCCATACTCTTGCGCGCGCGTACTATATACACTATATACTGTACTGTACTCCGGCGGCTTCAACGCAGCTGTGCCACTATACTGCCTACACTGCTACTGCTGATGTTCGCGAACGGAATGACGAACATTACTCGGGCAATAAATTCAACTTCTTCGTGTGCGTGCGCGTGTGTGTATATGTGTATAAAGTAGCACATTGATATTCCCCGCACGTTCGTTAACTCCGAAGAAAAAGGGATAAGGGCCCGCGTCGTCGTCGTCGTCTCCGAAAAGAAGAGAAGAAAGAAGGAAAAAAAAGCTCGACTCCGAGACTTTGGCGCTCGGATTCTTCGTGGCGCAGCGACTCTAGTATATAGGCGCAGTAGCAGCAGAAGCAGAGCCGTCGTCGCCGTCTCTCATTTTCCTCGGACAAATGCGAATCCCGAAATGGCGAAGCGCCGCCGCACGTGTTTCATTTTCACGCGCGAATATTTCACGCGTGAATCGAGAGAAAATCTCCCCCTTCACCCCCCGTTTCCTCTCGCGTGTGAAATTTGCATTTCCGGAGGCTGCTGCTGCTGCTGTTGTTGCTGCGATACGGCGGTGTAAACCACTCGGCGCGCGCGCGCTTTTGCACGCAATATTTCGTTTTCGCGTATATAATATATATCTCGTTGTAAACGCGAGTAATACAGTTAATCGAACCATATTTATGCGTCTGTGCTTGTGCGCGTATATATTTTAAAACGTACCATAAACATGTTTATATACGCGCGCACACTCGTATGACTACAGAAAAGCTCTCTCGTCCGCGCGCATTTATTCATAATCGCATCCGAATGCGCGTATACACATGCGGGCTGCACAGCTCGTTTTATCGAGCGAACAATTATGTACTCACCTGGCGTACATAATATGCGGCGGTGGTGCGGCAGCAGAAGCAGCAGCAGCAGCATATATATCTAAAAACATATGTACAGCGCGGCGTGTGTATAGTCGAATTTAATGCTCCGGTAGTGTGCGAGGCAAATGAACGAGGAAAAATGTGGGTATGCGTGTGTACCTGTACGTAATGTATTTATAATAATTGACGTGAAATTTGGTCGCAAGACGAAAAATTTCTTACGTTATAATATTATATGTATAGTCGGACCGATAAACGTCGAGTACGGCCGGGAAGTAGTGTATTTCGTAAATAGGTACACTACATATCGCGCGTACACAGACATTCTAATGGAACGACAGGGTATTACATATTGTATTATATTATAGCATACATATTGTAACGAACGGGCCAATTATCGCGGAGCTCAGTCGCGACAGTTGCGCTTGGCTTTGTTGACGTCTTCTTTAACGAGTATATAATAATACGAGCATGTTTGTTGCGGGCACATACAATGTGAGCCGCGCGCGTCCTATCAACGTTCGTATTATTATATATGCTTACTCGACTCCGCTTCGCTGTACTCTCTGTCTCCCAAAAATGCGAAAATATGCTCGCTAGTGGCAACTTTGTTGCTCGCAGCAGCACAACAGAATGACACACGCACACGCGATTAATATCATGTAGTGTACGCACACATTGTCTCATCGTCGCGCGTCGAGGAAGATATTATACAGTAAAAGCCACGTTTAATAATAATGATACGTGTATGTGTGTGTGTGTGTGGTACGTGTACGAATACGCGACATAATATGTAGAAATCAAGGCACACAATATGTCTTGGAGCGCCCGAGCCTTTGTTGTCATTTACAAAACTTTGATCTCTCGCTCTCTCTCTCTATAAAGTTCCATTTCCAATTTGAGACACGCACGCGAGCGGGTACAAAGTCGCTCCGCAGCATATTGTTTCGTCATCCCTCCCAGTCCGGGCACGTCAAAAGGATGCGTGCGCGCGCGTGTGTGTGTGTGTGTGTGTGCGTGTGTGTGTATGCTGCGCACACTGCACTTTTCACGCGCGAGACTCTTTTGCGCGATTTAATCTACGACAGAAAGAGCGAGAGAGAGATAGAGAGAAAAATGAGTACCGGATGAACGGGCGATGATTATGCAGTCCGGTACGTTGCGCGTTGCGCTCGCAGCTAAAATATATGCGTGTACGCTATATATTATACACGTACGTGTACGCTATGGTATAAGAAAATCGTCGTCGTCCGGACGTCCGACATCGCTAGTTCCATATTAGATGCGACTAAGATGAGCCCCGCGCGTTCACTCGAGAATTGTTGTTTAGCCCAAATATTTGCCCGGGTTATATATTTATAAAAGCCAAGTTTCCATGCACTTAATTTATCCACGTTTGTGCCGGCCACTACTGCTGCTACTACTACTACTACTACTACTACCGCTTCGGTGATGTCGGCCTGATACGTTATATATATAAATCCACGAGGAAAAGCTCAATCGCGAAAAGTCATGGTCTGCGCGATATAAATCATCCTCCGGCACGCAGCAGCAGCAGCTAGTAGACGTTAAAAAGAGCGCATTATTTTATGCTTGCTGCGCTGCCACTGTAGTTATATATACCACTATATATATAAAGAATATACCTATAGATAGTGCAGTCGCGTTAGAGGATTTACTACTACCACTATTCTCGACGTCGACGTTGACGATCATCTCTCTCTCTCTCTCTGCCTAGACGAAGGAGAGATAGAACGAGAGAGAGAGAGAGAGAGAGAGAGAGAGAGAGAAAACGTACAATGCGGAGTGACGAGGCGCGTTACACACTCCTCATTGATAAGCATATTGCCGGCAGCGGTGTATTATATATACGCACCAGCCGTACTACTCCGAGCTATGCCGTACGATTTTTCGCTCGGTACACCTATATATAGTGCAGTGCGCCGCTGCTGCTGCGAGTGAAGAGAAAGAAAGAAGCTATAGCCGAGCGAGACAGCTACGCGATCGCGCGACTGACTGCTTATGAGCGAACGCACAGGAGGCTAAAAGCTCCCGCGAGGTCGTCGTCGTCGTCGTCGTCGTCGTCGCGTCTAGACGGAGCGTGAGAAAGACTCGGCTGCGCCGCGCGCGCGAGCTTTTATAATACCGCGAGTACGAATTATTATTATTGTCGTGATTATTATTATATCTATGTACGCAATATAACGTGCGCTCGTCTTGAATATGCTATACAGCGTACTTAAAAACGCATTGCATATTTTTATAAATATATATATCGCCGTCCTGTATCTTTCGCGATTAAAACTGCTGCTTGTATTATACATCGATTTTAACAAGCTCTCGAATGGTCACTTCGTCGGCGGCCGCTCATATGCATATATCGCGATATAGCTCGCGCTGTGTAGCTGCATTAAGAATCAGCGATTTCCTTTCGAAACTACCGTGTATACCGACTAATACAACTACTACCGCTAGCACTACCACACTTGAAATATGCGTATAAGTAGCTGTCGAGCAACGTGCTATTTTGCAAAATTATGTATCTATTTCGCGCTTATATGCATATAAAACTACGCGCGAGCAAACGCGTTAGTGTTATACGTATACGTACACCAATTTACGATAGACGAAAAGGGTAAGAAAGAGAGAGAGAGAGAGAGAGAGAAAGACGCGCAAAACGAGAGAGACTACGCGCCGCTGCTTTTGTGTGTGACTATGTATGTACGTAGTATATGTAGTGTGTGCGAACACACAGCGCACACATCGGGCGCCGTGCAGCCGGATTTTCCCCTTTCGATGGTCTTCTGAATCGGAATTTAATTGGCCTCGATTCGTCGTCGTCGTCGCTGCTGCTGTTGCTTGCCTGCCTGCCTGACTGCCTGCACGTTCTCGTGTGTGTGCTGTGCTGCAGCGCGCCCAAGCATTGTAGCGCAAAAGGCAGAAAGAGTCAGCCAGGGCTTTATCATATGTGCGCGGTGTGCTGCTGCTGCAACGCGTGGGCTTGTTGTACGCGATTCTCCTCTCCTCGCGCCCGTTTCTTTTTTTTCTGGTCATTTTATCCTCTTTTACATGTGTCGACGCGATCTCCTAAAAACGAGAGAGAGAACCAGGAGAAACATAGAAAAAAGCTCGCTTATATACAACTTTTGATGATTAATGACACGTATCATACTGCGATCCCACACACGTGTTTTCGCTATAGTAGGATTTTTCATTTTTCACCTCGATACGCGTGTCGAGCTCGCGCGTCAAACTCGTGAAAATCGTCGATCGCGAAACTAATTATTGTCGATATAATTTTTCCGTTGCCTCTGCGACGTTGAGCGTTAAATCGAAGCATTGGCTGCGCCACTGCTGCTGTTGCTGCTGCTGCACTTCTATGCTGCACAACACAGCACAGTGTGTCTCGTCGTCTTCTTAACTGGGTCATGGGCCATGTGCACCGAATGCACAAGTCTCTGTGTGTGCGAGCGTGCCTAGCATATACCACGCGAGTATGTATATGTAATTCACTCATGCCTGAGCTTGGATTCTAATTGAACAAAATTGACAATTGTAACTCGACGTAATTGTTTACGAATAATTTCTCCGCGGCGACCGTATATATGCACTGCGCGTTTATGCGTCTGTGCTGCGTGCGCGCGCGCGTTGCGTCAAAGTATTATTATTAACGTTCGAACAATGACCGAGCCGCAGCCTCGGCGCGGCACACGCATACACACGCACATATGCACATGAGCAATGCGCAACTTGCAGCAGCAGCAGCTGAGCTGCACAGAGTGCATAAAATCTCGCGCGAGCGCGCGTGCACTGCAACCTCATTTATTTTTAGACATTTTTCTTACGAAAAAAATATATTATTTTTTTCTTTCGTATACACACTTACCAGTACGTACATACGCACACGTACAACTTCGTACACGCGTACTACGTGCAAAGCGCCCCAGCGAAAGAGAGAGACAGTGAGAGAAATACATATAAGTGTGAGAGAGAGAAGTAGTTTATTAGGTCATTTAAATGACTTCTGCATGTACGTACGCGACGACCGTCGTGAGAATTCGCTCCGCTTGCTT